CCCCAAAACCCCAAAACCCCAAAACCCCAAAACCCCAAAACCCCACACAAGACTTTTCAAACTGAGATTATAATTTATATTAATAAATGGAGGTGAAAGATTGCCAGAAGAGGTACAGATTTAGAGAAAGGAGACTTCTGAGAGGGGTTTAGAGGAATTTTAAGGCTTTAGGAGGGGAAATAGAAGGGGTATGTGGGAGTTTGAATTTTTTGTATGTATTTTTTGAGTGTTGCGGAAAGATAAAGAGGCATATAGACCAGCAAAGCTTATTTTTATACGGAATTTTCGAATTTTCTTGCTGAATAGAGTTTATTTTAGATATAGGTATTCCAAACCTTGGATATTACTAAAAAGAAATATATGAAAATGGTTTGTTCTGGTGGCACTTTTGTTGCTAATCTGAAGAAGCTCAGCTGAATCTATTTGAAACACAGATGAATTTGAAGATCAAGGCATCTGAATTAGATGCCAAGGATCCTGAGCAGCATGTGATGATTACAGTTCATGATATAAGAATGGGGCAATCAAATGTAAAGAAAATTTCACTCCAAATTGTAAGTTACTAATACTTATTTTTAGCAACCACTGGGTTCTGAGATTGGATAGACTGTCCAGACGGAACTTATTATTCCGAGCCTATCAAGGGATGTGCCCGATGCGAAGGAAGTTGTAACTCTCTTTGTGGATATCAAAGCCATTGTTATGACTGTCCAACTGGAGAGTTTTTAAATTTAGATAATCTTTCATGTATCACTGAATGAAATAGCACTACTCAGGTTCAAATCACAGATCCTCAACTGAGTAGTATTCCGTTATGTAGAACTCCGACCTACTATGTTAACCCGCTGAGTATGAGCAATGCTGAGCTAGGGACTCAGGCTCATCCTTACAAAGAATTTGAATCGGTTATTGTGGAAATTATGAACTACATTAACCACGAAGGAAAGAATATTACTATATATGTTATGGAGAAGTCTACCATCTTTGCTAATAGCCCCACCCACATTATCAATGCTACTAACGTGCATATAGAATCTTATTCGGAAGTCAGAGTAAACCCTGAGAAAGCTAAGCTAGTGATTGTCCAGACTAGCTCGAAGATAATACCCTACTCTATGTCTAATAAGTTCAATATTTTGGTTGACAAAGAACAGAGGAGACAAACAAGAATTTATGGTAGAGGGTTCCCTGAAGAGGAGCTATTTTACCTGGTTGTCAATAATGCCTGTTTTAATCCCTACCTAACTGGGCTTACATTTAAGAATTTCAGAGTCTCCTCTGATTATCTCGACTTGAGGCCAGAGCATACCTTCATGGAGCCTCTGAGAGTTGATGATAAAGAAGTTGCCCTTATTGATTGAGATATCAGAATGGGAGGAACACTGATACTAGCAGATACCACTCCATTCAATTGGATCATGAGAGATGTCATAATTGACATTAGTACTCTGTGGCGACTCAGTAGACTAACATTATTTTGTGGCGATACAGGCACTACACTTGACACAAAAATTTACTTCAAGAATGTGACAATGTATACTTCTGATGCAAAGCCAATATTAGTACAGAGACAGCAGACCTTTATCCAGAACTACTTCCCTCATGATTTTGTGATGGAGGATGTCACCATTGACACATATGTAGGCTATAACTTTGAGTCATCACATTCATTTACATACATCAGTGATGAGAAATGAAATAACGACTTGAGGCCTGCTTACTACAATTTCACAAATTTTCACCTGACGACGACACGGTTGGAGAAGACTCTAACTGATAAAGTGGAGACTAACAATTTTATTGTAGAACAATACTCTGAGTCTAACAGATCTGTTGAGTTCCACCTCACAAATTTTACTTGCAGTAATGATATCCAGAAAACTTATGCATGAATGCAGTTCACTGCTGGTGAAAGAGGAGACATCTTCATAACTGATTTTCACGGTGTTAACAACGAAGGCTATCTCGGACTACTGATTGCGAATAGTGTTACTTTCACTAATATGGATTTGAATGAGGTTTCTCTTTCATCTCCGAAGATCTTTGACATTCAATGATACTCATCTTTTACAGTCAATGGGCTAGTTATGAATAATTCATTGATCTCCACTGAAAATACTTATTCTGCGATAAAGGTTAAATTACTGAAACCTGGAGAAATTTCAATCAATGGCCTTAAAATTGTGAATAGTGAAGTAGTACAAGCTCAAGCTGTGTTTTACGCAACATCACAAAGCGGGGGAAGTTTGACTATTAACTCACCTCAGTTCCAAAACATGACTCTGAGTGAAGAAGCATCGATCCTTAGTTATGGCATTCTGGATAAGGTCTTGATCAATGGCCTCCAAACTAACCTTGTAGTCACTAAGTCAGGAGATCTTGAAGTCAATTCATGAATTACTCATTGTAAGCTTCATTATTATCAAATTGAGAGTTTAGATTTTCATTTTTTACTTTCTAGTATATTCTTAATAAAACACTTCTCCAGAAAATATGAAATCTTGAGCTAAAATTTTTGCCAGTTTTGATAAAAAGATTCTTGACCAGAGTCTTCTAGATATGTATAAAATTTAAAACCTTGATCAGAACCAACAATTGTATTCTCTGATAAGTTGAGGCGCTTCTAAACACCTATGAAACTAGGGTAAATTTTCTAATCGTTCCTTTAGACTATGACAGTAATTTGGCGGCACCAAATATCGAACAGGTGATTTCTAACATTACAATGGAGCAGTCTTCTGTCTCAATGATAGTAATATCAAAGCCAGACTATGATACAGCTTCAACATCATCTTTACTGGTGTCTAACGTTACCTACCAGAACACAGTGTCATCAGCTGGTGTAGATATTGTAAAAATATACAGGATGGCCTCTACAGGCACTTATGAGATAATTTTTGAAGATATGACATTCAAGAATTTGACGTTTCAACGAAACACTAAGCTGTTTCATCTAATGCAGCAGCTCAATACTCCTGTGGATATCCGGAACATCCAAGTCTCTAATGTTGTTTACGCTGGGATAACAGTTTTGGCTTACGATACCAACAATGTAGGCAATTTTACACAAGTTAATATCCAAAATATCTCAGTGACAGATGTGGATACAAATTTACGATCCTTTATCAATATCTATGAGGGAGCAAATGTCAATGTCAGCGATTCAACATTCCAGAGAATCAGTAATTTAGATAGCGGGGCTGTGATGTCAGCAGGATTTCAAAAAGCCATCGCACGGTTCTATAACACCTCATTTTTTAACAATACGTCAGTAGAGGGAGGTGTATTTACCAGCCAATCTCAGAGCATCATTGAGTGCCACCAGTGTATGATTTATAGCAACTTCGCTATCTCAAGTGGAGTCATTAAGATCAATAGTGATGGAATTTTCAAATTCTATAACTCGGAAATTTATGAAAACAAAGCAATGGTGGCTTCTGTAGCAGAGTTATTCTCAACCCAAACCCAAAGTATAGTGAGTAATTGCACAATCAGATCAAACCAGATCCTATCAAGCGTGGAAGTATTGATTCAGCGTAAATTAAGTCTTATGTTTTAGGCTTTGTATTTGATTCTTTTCGTGAATATCTTCTTGACCATGAGTATCTTCTTGAGCATTCTGAGAATCAATATTGCTTCAAAATAGTCCAGGGAGAATTAATCATGACCGAAAATGTGCAAATTTATGACCAGGATAAGCTCATACAGTCAACTAATGGAGTTATCACTTTTGAAAATGTTCAAATTAGAGACACTATTTGCAGTCTGAATATTTTCTCTTTGTCTGAATCTCGGGGTTTTATGTATAATATTACTATCAGTAATATTACGAAGGAAGTAGATACTCCAACAGAGATTATTTATGTCTCAAATTCATTGCTTTTTGAATCAAATTCGACATATGGTGACTCAACTGTAGCCTATCTTACAGCTATTTTGGCAGTGGTAAATGAGAAGGTAAGTCCTCAAAAATAAGATTATAGATCCTTAACATTCGCAATGTGGCTTTATCTGATGATGACCTTATCCTGATTGCACAAAGTTCCTTCGAGCAGACTTATGCAGACAGTGGGAGCACATATATTTCCTCTATCAGAGAGTCTACTTTTGTGAATATCACTACTGATTCATCTAAAAGCATCTTGAGCTTTGTGAAATCTTCCTTCAGTGAGATTACTGACAATCTTTTTAGAGATAATGGTATTCAGGTACTTAACTTTCAGAATTCAGTGCTGAAGACAATTCAAAATGTTAGTGTCTCCAATAGTTATTACTGAGCCAACTTTTTAAAGACAACTGTGCAGTCTTTAACAAACTCAACTTTCACCCAATGCGGAGGCACTGGTAAGCTCTCTGGTGGAGCTATTGACATTGAAAAATCCAATTTGACTATTTCACATACAAGTTTTATCGGAAACAAAGCAATATCAGGAGCAGCGATATCTGTTATCTGTGATGTTGACAACCAATGCTCTAACAGCTTTATCAATCTGACCTTTGATGATAATACTGCTGTTAAGCAAGGAGGGAGTATTTACTACAATTTTAACCGACCATTTATGACACAACTGACCTTTAATAACAATGCTGCACAGTATGGGACTAATATAGCTAGCTATGCGGTGAGAATCGTAAAAAAAGGAACTTTAGTGAATAAGATCTCCCTGACTGATGTCGCAAGTGGGCTCAAACATGATGAAAGCTTAAATTTTGACTTAGTGGACATTGATAATCAGATTATGAACCTTCAAGAAAGCTCTGTGAAAGTAGTTCCAATTCAAAGTAATACATCTATCGAAGGGACAGTTGAGACTAAGTTCTCTAATGGATCTGCCTCATTCGATAATCTCATTTTTAAAGCTAGTACAGGGGCTCAAGGTGTCCAGTTTAGGTAAATTCGTAGTTCATATTGTAGAGTGACCTCCAAAGCTATTGACTCAACCATACTAGCCCAAGTGTTAGACAACTCTATGGGCGAATACGATAATATAATCCATACTAATTTTAGGTATTGCATGTCTGGAGAAATTGAAAACCAATCTAAACAATGAGAGCAATGTCCAGCTCTAACTTATTCTCTTGGATGGAACTCCACTCAGTGCACCGATTGAATGGAACATGCTCAATGACTTGGTGAAGATCACATCAATGTTGATAGTGGATACTGGAGATATACTGAGAACTCTACTGAAATTATCGAATGCCCTAACACTGATGCATGTGAAGGAGGGTATCTTGCAGATAGTGAATTCCCAACTGAATGCGCTCCTGGTTATGCAGGAATCTTGTGAGGAGAGTGCCTGATACATGAGAATGTAAAATATCAACCTCTGAGCGACTTCAGGTGCACTAAATGCCCAAATGCTACATATAACGCAATCAGGATATTTTTTGTTGCTCTCGTAGCATTTCTATTTCTCTCGTTATTGATTTATGTGAATCTTAGAAAGAGGAGGGAGAACCAGCACTCAATTTTGTTTAGGATTATGACGAATCATATGCATTTAATATCGGCAGCAATGTCATTTAACATGAAGATACCATCAAGTTTTGACTCCTTGTTTTCTCGAGTAAACAGAGTATCTTCGCCGAATGAGAGTTTCTTCTCGTTTGATTGATTCATTAAAGATTATGAGATCAAGCTATTTGCACCTTCAAATTCACTATTTAAGCTATTCCTGTTCCTCTTCTTGCCAGTCTTCTTGATTGGGGTGATAATAATTGGTCTGTTTATAGTAAATTTAGTTCTATACCTCTTCAAGAAGCATAAGATGTTTGACCAAAAGAGAGCAATTGTAGTGTCAATGATCTGTATAATCTTCCTATTCCATCCGACATTAACCCTTGAGTCTCTTTCAGTATTCCTCTGCAACCAGATAGATGCTGATGAGTACAGGATGACTATGCATTTAGAGTACAGATGCTACTCATTGGATCACCTTAAATGGAGTGCTTTCGTAGGAATGCCCATTCTGCTCCTCTGGGTTATAGCTTCGCCCATACTCGCCCTGATGATCCTTACAAGGCATCGTAAAAACCTTGAAGACTGGAGTATCAAGAAGTACATGTTGATAATTTACCAAGGGTTCAAGCCTGAAGTCTATTACTGGGAGTTTGTGAACATTCTGAGGAAAGTCCTGATTGTTTCGACTGATATTTTTCTTAGTATAGCTCCAAATAATTACAGTCTTGTTTGTGCTATTGGTAAGGCTAAGTTAATATTTTAGTTATATTGATTTTTCTGTGGAGAATTCAGATCAGGCTACAACCATATAAGTTGAAAGACAACAATGAGTTAGAGTTATATGGAACTATTGCTGTCATGATTACATTCTTCTGTGGATTCATCTTCGCTAAAGGCGAAGATGCAGTCACAGGATTCTATATACTCTCAACTATAAGTAATTGGTAAATGATTAATCTTTAGTAATTTTCGTGTGTAACGGAATCTTCTTCTTAAAATGGCTCTTCCTCATGCTCATTGAAGTCAAGTGGAAGAACCAGCATTTCCAGCGTACGCTGGAAATCTTTGCCATCCTCCTCCTTAAGGAAAAGAACTGGAGAAAAGAAAGATTTAAGGTAGAAGAGACACCGATGTTAAAGAAAACACCAGTTAAGGAAGCAACCAAGTAAACATATTTGTGGGTTAAGGATTTTAGGAAGCCTAAAAAAGGAAAGAAGAGAAGGAGACAGTTTAAGAAGATCCTTAAGAACGGAGTTAAGAATGGTAGATTTTATATTACAATTTTAGCCAAAAATAATAAGCTAAATGCCAAGTTGTATAAGATTAAAGCATTAGATAATCAGTTTTCCAGTATGAGAGGTGAGAAATTTGATCATCAAGTTCTTCATGTGATACTCTAACTTGCTCTCTTGAGTAATCTAATAACTATTATAGAGTAAGTACTAGCTCAATCAACAAAAATAGACAATCTGATAACAGATTGGTACTGAACAGCAAAACTTCTCGCAAACAGTATAATCAGAGGTATTTCTAGTTTAAATTGTAGTGAGGAAAATCGTGTCAAATTACCTGAACGTAAGCTCCATGATGGTCTTTATAAAAATGCATTGTAGATCAAAAGGACATCTCTCAACTAATCATTGAGATGGTAACGAAACCCTTTTAAACCTTTAGAGCCATGAAGAAGAAAAGAATTCAACACCCCAGAGTTTATTTAAAAATTATAACGAAAGAAAGATTGATCAAAGAGAAGAAGAGTCGAAGGACACTTCAATGCAAGAGGTTTTCGGCTTTACTACAGGTTTAATTCCCTCTTATCTCTAGAAAACAGGAAAAACAGGCGTAAGCGTAAAAAGAAGTATCACAGGAGAAGTAAGTCACCTTCTTCACCCCTCTCCGCCTGCTTAATTCCCTATTTCCAGGTCTTTTTACCTCTCGCTTAGCCTTATCGCACTAATCTCTACCCCTAATCTACTTTCAAGTCTCTTATCCTCTACTAAAATCCCCCTTAAACCCCAAGTTTTCCCTTGGCCCTGACTAATGACCCTAACTCTGTAGATGACTCTGGGCACGACCAAGAAGAGGATGAGGAAGAGAAGGAAGAACAGTTTCGTGTGTGGAAGAGAGAACGGAGGAGTTAAAAAAAATGGAATAAAATTTAGATGAAATTTAGAGGGTTATGGGTACTGAGTTGATTTTAAGTTTGATATGGTTGAGGTGCTAAGCTTTGTGAGTTAGGTATAGTTAGAGAGGGAGTTAGTTGTGTGTCAGTAGAAGAAGGAGTAGTAATTAGCAAGAGGTTAATATCTCACATATGAAAGCATTGTTGGTATGATATTATTAACTCAGATTTTGATAGATAGAGCTAGACTTTATGCTAATCTTAATTTAACAACTTTTTAAACAATTTTGCAAAGCATATACTCCTCGCATTCAGAGCCTTAAGCGGCATATCTTAAGTTCGATTCTCAATTTTTCTGCATTAAATCTTTCATTGGGTCAATTTTTCGATTTTTCTTCTTCACCTAAATTTTTTCTGTGTCCAAAAATTTCACCAAAATTTGTGTTCTAGCTAAGATTCCTTCTTGGGGTTTTGGGGTTTTGGGGTTTTGGGGTTTTGGGGTTTTGGGG